ATAAACTAATTACATTGACAAATTTTACAACAGTTGCAAAGCTGCTTTCTCTGCTGAATAGCAATTTATCAATTAAGTTATATAATCGTTTTTTTGCTTATAATTATATTTTAAAAAGATTAAAAATTAATTTTTAAAAAAGTTAATTTTTTGTAGTTAAAATGCTCATATTCGATAAAAAAAGTTTTAAAAAATTTTTGGTTTTTTTAAATTATAACTTGACTAAAAAGCTGTATGACTATATTCTAATTGGTAAATAATTGTTATAAACATATTGATCGACATACAATTCCTGGTTTAAACCCTGATAAAGATAATATTTTTCGCATTTCGTATTTTAAAATGTTTATTAGCATCATTATTAAATTAACGATTAATGTTATCTGTGATGTTATTTCCAACTTAAGTTTATGATTACATTTCAAGTCATATAAATCGAATCAGTATACAGTTATAAAACTGAAAAAATATATTTGCAAATTTGTAAATAAATAATATTAATTAAAATATCACAAATTATAAGGCTATGAGAGTTCAGCGCGGTAATTATTATTTATAAATTTCAACTTGTTATATAAGTTATATTTTAAATATTTTTACAAGCCCGAAAGTTTCGACCGCATTTAAAACGTTCAAGCTTATAAAAAACATCTAAAATATAACTTATACGTTAATATCTAACAAGTCGAAATTTGTGTGCAATAATTATCGCGCTGTACTTTCAAATATATACAAAAGCCGTTAAGATTAAATATTTATGTAATCAAGTATTCTCATTCTTCTCAATATGATAAAACCGTTCCCATGAATATAAGGAAGTAAGTGTATGCAAATAGCATTAGTACCGCAGAAAAGATTAAGGGTCGAAACATTCGCATTGTCAGAAAACGTACGAGCTTGTGGTAAAAATCCCCTTCCGCCAACGAGATTTCGTTTCTCATTTTTCTTATTTTCTTTCGCAGCCATAAATTTCGATTGGAGAACTCGCGGTGTATCTCGTGGTGCTCGTTTTAAAGAGCGTGCTTGCGCCCTCGTAAATCCTAATCAGAACTCGCAATTTATAGGGTGGGTTACGTGTGCTGCACGTCTCGAAATTCGCTGTTCAAATGCACGCAAATCCGATCATCTCTCCGACGAGTAATCGCGCGCGCGCACGATTTGCTCTTCGATTTGGTGTCGCTCCCGCTACTGCTCTGTGCTTTTTCTCCCTGTCGCCAATGATAATAACTTGAAACGAATGATACTTTTATGGGCTACAAATTACATTCCGAATCACCACGATTCTTCGAACGAAAATCTCGCAAAGTGGAACTAACGACGCGCCAACGACACGTTATCTAATTTTTGAAAATTATGGGCGACACGTGCGTGTATTACTCTAGCAAAATTACAGAGAAACGTATTCCATTTGACATGACTCCGAATAAATCAAATTGAAACAGAAAACAGTGGCTTCCCGGAATTCGCTTTGTTGATCTAAAAACATTATATATGTCGGATCTTCTTAAAAGTCAATCGACCTTCAAAATCCTTGATTCTGTGTCTTGTCCTGGTATTTTACAATATAAAATAAATTAAACTCGTGCAAGAAAAATCGTTGAATTTCAATAAATAGAATGCCGCCGATGCGCCAGTGAGAAAACCCTCGTCATAGAGAAAACGAGCTTTTCATTGAGCCGAGTAAACCAAAATACAGATTATGCGTCAACGTAACTGGAAGTTGCAAAAGAGAGCGGTTCTTAATAGAATCGGAAAACGATTTGTAACGAAAGAAGTAATCCAGCATCAAGGTGAATTTAATTTGATCGATCGATTAAGGCGCTTCTAAAATCGTGTATATTATTCTAAACGCAATAATTTTTGTATAACAATTATTTTTTTCTTTTTTTACAAATTTGAAAATCTTTTTCTAGAATTAAAATATACGTAGAAGAATTTATATCGAGAATGAAAAAAATTTTTAAATTGAGATTTTTACCATTTCTTAATCTAATATGGCGTTTCTCAGAAACTCAATTCAACACCATAATAATATCAACACCATAATAATACTTGCTTGATATAAAAACTTTAATCTGTGTTTACAAAATTGTGATCTGCAGACTAGTAATTTACATGAACAACCGTCGAGTTCTCAGAATTAGATTTTTAGATACTGTATCGCTAAATTTATTGCGTATGTGTGCATGTGATGTTTCAATGACACGTAAATCATATGTATGTAAATTTGTTTGAATCAATAAAACGAGTTTAGTTAAATTTCCTTAAGAGGAAAAAATGTCGGTCGTGTTTACTCGAATGCTGACTGCGGCAAAGATTGATGAATCTCGAAATGCAATTCAAGATGGAGATTCTTGTGGGGGGTGACGAAGTAAAATTTTTCAATGGAGTTTCTGAGGATAAGTTGATGGAGGAGAAGGAAGAAGTAT